CCCCATAGGGTTTCCAAGGCTGTAAATCTTTATGGAAGCAGACTGTCACATCTTTCTCCCTCAGAGCGGTTGGTGGGTTTGAACCATGGACCTTTCAGTTAGCAGCCAACAACTTTAACCACTATACCACCAGGACTCAAATAAGACTTAGGAATAGTTAAATTCTGTCTCAGGCTATGAGTCATTAAGTCAAGGTGCGGCTTATGTGATTTTTTGCCATTTAAATCACTTTAGGCATATTTAAATTTTATCTTTAATTTGTAATAATTTTCAGTGTATCTCTAGAAAAACTAGGTGAAGGAAAAAATTGGTTAAGTTTTATAGGTTTAATTGTTTTATTCTTTCTAAATTGCTCAACGGGCCTGCATACCTTAACAGATAACTTCTTATAGTTTATCCGTAAGGCCACAGTACAAAATAAAAACTTGGGTCTCTTTATAGTGCCTGCTGATCTAATTTTCTCCATTTTTTTTCTGTTGGAATTCCAGAATCACATTATGAATTAAAATCAAGAACTTAAGTTATAGAAACCTACATAATTTGTTTTCCTCACCCCCAACAAAGTTAAGATACAATTTCTTTCTTTCAAATATTTATTGAACACCAAATATACTATATACTAGGTGGTGGGGGATACAAAAGTAACAAAGAAAATTTCTGACTTAATGGTTGAGCTAGAGGAATCCAACATGTATTTCACTAATATGTATGTTAAATGGTATGAACAAATGGGCACAGGTAGCAGAAGAAGAACTGATTCTGCTGCAGTGAAGGATAATTAGAACAGATGAGATTAGTAAAGGCTATACAGAGGAGATGATGTTTAACAGGAGTTTTGAAGAGATGTACGATTTCACTATGCTATATTCCAGACAGAGATGTTCTCAGCAAAGGCAAAAAAGTTTAAAAGTACATGGAGGAAATGTAAGTACTGCCATCTGGTAAAGCTGAAAAATGGTTACATCAAATGGAAGAGATTGTGGTAGATGATGCTGGAAAGGAAGAGCCATATTATGAAGGCTCTTTAGTGCTATGCTAAGGATTTGGCCTTTACTCTTTAGGAAAAGGAGAAGCCATGGAACATTTCTCAGCAAAAGGGTCACAGTCATATCTGTCTTAGAAAGGCTAAACTGGTGATAACAAAGAATGGATGGGAACAATGGTGGGAGGCGCAGAAGACTGCAGGCAGCCTAGAATATTCTGGGGTATTTTAACAGTCCAGGTGAAATAAACATCTACTATAACTATGACATGACAAGAGTAGATTGACTATATACATTTCTAGGGTCAGTTCAAGAAAACTGGATGACAAAATTGGACAAAGTTAGAGGAAAAGACAGAGAAATCCCATTACTATGAGATGACTGTGTAGAGAGACGGTGATGCCAGTAACAAATGAGGGGGGAAAGGAACAGCTAATGCTTGAGGGGAAGGGAGGAGAGAATTGAGATTGGACCACATGGACCATTAAGAAAGTATGTGAGAAACCAAGACTGACTGAAGCCACAGGGTCATTAAGATAGCTCAAAGACAGGGTGTAGGAGCCTAAAGAACCCTGAGGAATACTTTAAATAGTTGTGGGTTGGCAAAAAAGGCTTCCGAAGAAACTGAAAGACCATAAAAATAAGGATAGGTCATAAAGAGTTTTAAGGAGTAAATGATAGTGCTGCAAAGGTTAAAAAGTTTTCAGAAGTGCAGTCACTGGATCTGACAGAAGGTGACCTTTGAGAAAACCATTTCAGTTGAGTGATTAAATTTGAGGATTAAAATGAAATCATAGAGGCAGAGCCAACATGGCACCCTAGACACATGCATCATACCATCCCTCTGCAGAAAAGACCCTCTAAGAAAAACAGATACACAGATCAATCCTGGAACCCTAATCATCAAATGAAGGGACAAAGAACTAGATCGAACACCAAATGGAAAAAGAAACTAAAGGAAAACAGAGAATGAAGAGAGATACGGAGTGGAGGTCCCCTGCCAATTAACAAGGCACAGCATTGCCATCTTGGAGCACAGCCAGCAACGGCTCCGGACAGGGAGTACAGGAAGGCAACGTCGTGGAGCTCCCAACAAGACAGAGCACCCACCTGCCCCATATGCCAGCCTGCTATCCCGGCGACCCTTGCCATATCGCTGCGGCCAGAGCATCCCCAGCTCAGGCCCACTGCTGCACCGGGCCCACAATGACCCTCTCCTCCCACCACCTGACCAGCTGCTGAATGGAGGGAAGCGAGCCTGTACCACTCCCTGTCCCATCCGACACCCCTGCCTAAGTGGCAAGGAGCTGTGAACACTCCCACTTTGCTGGAACAACATCAGGAGGCTGACAGTGCTCGCCCTGCCTGCTGCTGCCCTGCCTACCTGGACAACGTGGTGAGAGCTATCGTGCCCACAGACGAGCAAGCAGCAAAGCATGCCTGGCCCACCCACCCATCTGTCCAGACATATAAAAACAAAACAACGAAGCAAGACAAAACAAACATATAATCAATAAATAAAACCTTAAAGTCTCAAAGACAGCAGACAATATCAAAACATATAAAAAAGGACAAGATGGCCCTAGCAAGCGACCAAAATAAAGAATCAGATGACCTTCCAATAGAAGAAAAAGCAGTGGAACTACTTGATACGGCATTCAAAAGATTAGTATTTAGGGCTCTCCAAGAGATTAAGAAAGAAATCAAAGAAAACACAGACAAAATCATGGAACACACAGCCAAAATCAAGGAAAACAGCCAAAACAATAGATGAATTCAGAAAAACAATACAGAACAAAACATCAAAATGAATAATTAGAAATCATATGAAAACTGCTACCAGAAATCCAAAAGATAAACAACAAAATTTCAGAAATGGACAACTCAGAAGGAAATTGTAGCGAGAAAAGGAAAGAATGGAAGATGAAGAAGTGAAGCCAGACAGAAATTTTCCAACAACTTTGTCATTAAAGAACAGAGATGGAAAAAGAGCCTGAGCAAAAATCAGACTCAAGAAAACAGTTTAAAGAAGGCTTGAGATTTTTTATACAAAATCTGACTCAGTAAAAAACAAAAACAAATTTCAAGAAAAGAAGCAACGTGGGGGAGGGTGGTTCAAACTATCCATCCAAATGTTTTAACATCGTATTAAGCAAAGTATCTGCTACTATATTGACTTGCCTCTGAGTCTGCACACTTCATAATTTTCATTTATACAATAGCCGTGAACTTTATAGGAAAGCATAAAGATTTAACGTTTTTAAAACAGATAAATTCTAAATTTCAAAATGAGTACAAGGATTCAGAATTCTCATATTTTAACAGTACAGTTCTTGGTGGGCAGATTATAGTAATGAAACATACAACTAGTAAATTTTACTTTTAATTTCTAGTTGACATAAATTCTACTTGCCCATACTTTATTCTCAGATCATTTACATTTCATGATTGGGTATAAAGTCCAGGGATAGCTGAAGAGAAGATAACCTCAATCATGTGCAGTGTTTTCTCCTTTCCCTGCTTCTCCCAGTAAAGATGTGTCATACGATGACTATAAGCTCATAAAACAAAGACATCTGCATTTAGCTTCGTTGTGTTTGGCATTCTAAAAAGTGATCATTACCATCTGCAATAGGCAGTGGGTTTCAGAAAAGCCAGGACAGAGAAACTAAAGGGATTTATAGCTCCCCCAAGTTGTCCTCTTAATTATCTTATCTGAAGTATACTGTCAAGGCCAACCATATCAAATATAACTCTTAAAATAGACAATGCATTCTAAGACCAGAAAATTTTGTTTAAACATCAAATTAACTCCATCAAGTGGGGGAAAGATTAAGTAAGAGCTGTTCTACCACTCTGAAGATCTAAAACTCATTATGTCACTTTTTAACAGCCTGAAAGTATTTTTAAAAGAATGGTACTTTTTGTCTTCCCTGCTTGGGAAAGAAATAATTACGTCTAGCGGAAACAGGGGGCATGACTTTCACCATGCCATCGCAGCACTCATCCCTAACTAGTTTAACCCTGTTTACGGTAATCCTCAATATTCTTTTCCTCTGTTGGTGTAAGTAAATTTTTGATAATTAGTTTTTAAGAAGAAAAAAAAACAAAGGTCTTCAGATTGGAATCATTTTCAAGATCTTACGGTTTCTGTTGAAGACAGAAAAACAAGTTACTTTAAAGATGACAAGATTAAAACAAAATGTTAAATGTAAGGAAATAATTACAAAACAAAGCTAAAGAGATTATGGTTGTCAATTTTAGTATTTATTGAAAGGTGGAAGACAAGGAAAATTCCTCTCAAAAACAACTCTTGCACCTTTGTTAAACGTGAAATGAATTTTGAGATATTTGCTTTACATGAAAATGAACTTGTCCCAAAAATAAATGAATGCAGATTTACCAAAAACAGTGCTAATTTATTATTTACAAAAATGATCTTACCTTTCCTAACTATTGGGAAAAAAACTGTTTTACACTCAGGAAAACTAATAAAACACCTTAAAGACGTAATCCAAGAAATAAAATCTTTCCAACCCTCCACAATCCTCCCAAAAGTTTTATAGAGTGGATTAAAAATGAATGTATATGGAAACAAAACATAATATTTCCAACAAACTTACATACAGAAACACACATGCACGCACACGTGCACACACACCCACACACATACAGTGTTGTGCTAGATCAACCTAATCTTTATTTAAGGCCAACAGCCTTAGTGACAAGGAAGATAATGAATATGGCTTTAGTAGAGTTTTCAACTAAATATCACAAATGCTTAATTCATTTGCTAGCTAACCAGCTAACCTGAGTATGGAATATATATTACTTAGATAGCTAGAAGGGTATGAACAAAAGCAGTTTTTAAAAAAAGTACTGTAGCAGACACCACTAAGGTACCTTAGTTTTCTTCCAAAGGTCTATATATGAATTTAATAATTTACATCACAAATGATTATTCTATATAGTATATGACCATGTCAGAAATTGTATCTTAAGTGCTTCACTGTTCTGGTCCAAGAAATTGAAAACAAAAGCAAAAAATCTGCTGTGTTCAGATAAAGAACTGGAATGTACTAACTAGGAAACCATTAATATAACGCAATATTAAAATAGAAATTATTTGTATGTAACAAAGGTAGTCAACAAGTTCTCAGATTACACAGATGAGGATTTTAAAATTGTAACCCGTAAAACAAGGAAAATAAGCATTCAAGGTGATAACCAGGCTGTATCTCAAAATCTGAGCCCACGATTTCATAGTTCACCTCCACAGAGATGCATGCCTTTTACAAAAAAAAATTTCAAACTGTGGAGAAGTTTAACTACAGATTATATACGAAGCTATACCTAAAAGCAACCACTCTGATTGTTTTAGATACGCTTTCCTTTAAGTTTAAGGCTCACATATTTTGGAGGGGTACCTTAAGACATTATAGTATGATCTCATGCATCTGTGTATATGCTACTGGAAAATTAAAAATAAAAACAAACCTAAATATGTCACCCTTCAATTAAAAAAAACAAAACAAAAACAGAAAAACATTTTAACCACATTCTCTCCTACTTCCCAATACTGATTTGTTATAAACTTTTGTCTCCCAAAAAGGTAGGTACATATCTATAAATTTAGCTAACAAATAGAAGATTAAAGAGGTGGGGAGGATAAGACAGTGACATATGAAAGAAAATAAACCCCTATTTACATTATCATGATTTATCCCTTTCCTATCCCATGAAACTTCCTATGTTGAAATTACATTGATTTCCTACAAAGCATCCAGATTTCCTACAATATTTGCCTACCCTTTTATTAATCTGGGGGCTCAGAACTGTCATCATTGCTACAGTTCATTTTTTTGTTCTGGTGAAAAACCTTTCTCTAAGTGACTTTCTCCCTAACCAGAAACAAGTAATTTTGATGGGTACTACAAATGAGGCTAGAGCAGAGACCACTGAAATGGGAATAGCAACAATAGCCCAAAAGGCAGCACAAAGAACCCCAGATGAAAGTGATCAACCAAAGTATGAACCCAGAATAACACCAAAGACAGACAAAATAGATTTGCAATGTGTGGAGCTCCTTGCATTAAAGCATACATCAAAGACATTTGTTTGCCTTTTAATTACAGTAGTGGAAGAAGTCTAAATTAATGATAAAGTTCATCATTATGGAGATTTGTTTCACTCATTATCTTTAGCTAGGCACTAGCAATCCCATTTCCTGCCTCAATTTTATATTCTAGAGCTTCTTTTGAAAAGGAAGTACTACAAGCTGTTTGCTTTCCTGGGGGGGCAGGGAGGGGGGATATCCTGAGAAAGATGAGGTACCACATCTCATTTTGTCACTTTTATCTCTATATGTGGCTGTTGAGTTATTGCCTTATTTTACAACTCTGTATTTGCCAAATTTTCCTCCCATTTTGCATGAAAATGTAAAAGAAGATCTTGATCACTCCCAATTAAACTTTCTGTAACTAAAGACTTTTACTCTGCTATAATTAAGTGCAATACAAGTACTCATCAGTTAAGAAAATCTCTCTAGTTTTTATCATTCTATTCACTATAAAGAAAAATTATTTTAGGGCTATGTAATCTGGCCACACAACTTCATTAGTTAGAAGGGTTAGATATCAGTAACAGACCTTGTTTCTCCCTTCTAAATTGTTTCTATTACCTAAACTGCTTTCTTGATGTTGAACATAAATATTTTAAAATGTATTCCAGGGAATAGGGCTAAGAAGTTTCACATATTCATCTTATTCAGTAACTTAAGAAATTAGGCAAAATATGATATATACATTCCCATACATACACACGCACACATATATATGCTTTCATAACTGAATCTTGGTTTTTAAAAACACTTGCACAGTGTGGGAAATTTAAATATTCACTAGATTTGAATACTTACATTTGCACTTCATTACCATTCTAAATGGATACACCAGCAGAGATAAACAAAATATATCAAATAAATGATTTAACTGAATTGTCAGTTTGTCTTTTTGCAGACCCAACAGAAAACATATTTGTTACGAACCTTTATTAAGTGGCTCACATTTCAGTATAAATCACACTAAAAAATTTTTTTAAAAAGCTATTTACACTACAGTGCTGACACATTTAAAATTAAAAAAAAAAAAAAAAATTGGTATAAATAAGTTCTATGGAAAAGCCTTAAATTGTCAAAGAATTCTGGCTCATATTACAAAATATATATGTGTGTGTGTGTGTGTATATATATATATGTTACTGTCAGCTCTATTCTAAAACCTACAACTCAAATGACCTAAAGACTATTTATGTTTAAACCTGCAATGTTTACAGTGCATCTAGCCCTAAGTGCTTTGATACTTCACAGTTATGGACAGGCACTGAGGAATGTTACAAAGCTACACAAACTAATTTTTTTTAACAGACTTGGGAGCAAGTCCTTGGCTTGCTTTCAGAATTCATGAATCTTTATTACATTATTAAATTTAAAAAAAAAAAACTTAAGTGGTATGTACAAATTTAGCACAAAATGTCATCATCTTTTCTATCTTGATTTGAATGTGTTGAACTATGTTGCCGTGTATCAACTAGACTTATAAGACTTCCAGCGCACAATTCTTCCTTTAAATCTTTGTTGCTATTTTCAAATTTAGAGTCCACGTCAGTCTTAAATTGTGTAAAATGAACATGATCAAATTTTGCTTTAACATTCTTGCTATCTGTATTATTAGATGCTCTAGTCTTTTCAGAAATATTAACATTCACTGGTTCTTCCTTGATTCTTACAGATGCAATAGGTTCATGTTTAATTCTCTGTAATTCATATTTAGGATGAAGTTTGTCTGAAAAAGAATCCAAGGAGGTTTTGCTCATAGCACAAATCATATTGTCAGTGTGAGTTCCAAGAACTGATGATGTAGCATCTGATGATGTGCTTGTTTCTTGAATAGCTGTATTCTGAGAAGAGTCGTCCTCTGAGTGATATAACTTAAGACGAACATGCCATGCTAAACTGCATACAGCTGAAACTGTCTTGAACTGATGTACAACATTCCTTGGAATAAAATACATGTCATTATCATACAGCTGAATCCTGGCATAGCGGATGCCTTCCCTCCTCAATTGATTGAGTTTTGCATCATCAACCCATTGGACACACTAAAAAAAGAAAACAAGGAATACAAATAAGTCTTTTCCACAATAAAAATAAAACTAACAACAAAACATAAGAATTTAAAATATACCTGGGACAGTGGAGGTTCATGTAAATCTAACTGCATTCGTTGAACTACTTCTAAGAAATCTTCAGCATGAAAACAAATTACATCTTTGGTTATTCGGGGTTGATCAGGCCTAAAAAAGAAAATGAGCTAGTGAAGAACCTGCCATTAATGTTTCTAAGTCCACATTAAATTAAAAGCAAAAATAGTTTATAGTCAAAACCAAAGTACTGTTTTAAAAATAAAGTTAAATTATAATTAAAAGACCACTTTACATAAACGAAGCGATGATACCATAAACAAAGATCAGAAACAACTCACCTTTTATTATAGCTACTTATAATCAGATTTTGAAAAACAAGGTGATTTAAATTGGTAAATTATGCAAATCAAGAAAGCTAAGTGTTTTGGTTTAAAGTTAAGGTCAGAATTTCAAAAAATTAAGTGCTAAAGTTGAAAATACTGCATAAAAATTAGAGGTAAATATGGAGAAAAAAATACTTTCTTATTGATACGTATCTTCAATAAAGGATACATGTAACTGCACTGACACATAAAACCCCTAAATAACTCTTAATAAATTAAAAAACATTCATTAGCAAAGTTCCAACATAATAAACTGCTGACGTTTGCTGGGATTAACAGTGTTTTTAAATACAATTTGAAAAAATTCCCAAACTGTTCAATTAATCAGGAGTATACAAATATATTTTAACAGAATGTGCTTAAAAATGGATTTCAGAATAAAACCCCAAGCAACATAAACACAAAGAGCACAACACACCAAGGCAAATAATAACAAAATTTCTAAAAACCATTGAAAAAGAAAATAACCTAAAAATCATGCATTACATCATATATAGGATAAGACAGATAAGAACTATTACAGACTTTTCCTCAGAAACAATCCAAGCCAGAAGGGAATGGAATATTTTTAAAATATTGAATGAAAAAAATCAATCTAGAATCCTATATCCACCAAAAATATCCTTCAAAAATGTGAAATAACACTTTCAGACAAAGAAAACTTGAGAGATTGTCTACGGAACTACACAAAGGAATGTAGAGCACTAATAACAGTTACTATGAAATATGAAAAGTATTTTATTCTCATTTTTTAATCTCTTTAAAAGATAATTGTTTAAAGCAACTTTCCCCAACAAATTGTAGGGTTTAAAGATAAAGTAATATGTATGACAACAGTTAGCACAAAGGCCGGAAAGGGGGAGGGGACTAAATGGAAGAACATTGTTGAAAGGTTCTTACACGCTACATGAAGAGATATACTATTATTTGATGGTAGACTGTGATAAGTTTGGAGCAACCAACTAAACAAATAAAACACAGAGGTATAGCTAGTAAGCAAATAGTGAAGGTAAAATGGAATGCTGAAAAAGATAAGAGGGAAAAGCAACAGAGACCAGAAGAGGCCAGTGGGCAAAGCAAAATGGTTAGTTTTAGTCCAAACTTACTCATAATTACATTGACTATAAATAGTCTGAATACAATTTAAAAAGTTGTCACACTAGATAGAAAAAGGAAGACCAAACTACATGATTTCTACATGAAACAATAATAAAGATATACAAATAGGTTAAAAGAAAAAGAATGGGAAAAGATATAACAACCACACAATATTAACAGCCTCAAAATGCACGGAACAACCTTGAAAATAAAGTGAAAAAAGCTAATCACAAGAGACCACATATATAATTCCATTTATATCAAATGTCCAAAATAGGCAAATTATATAGAGAGACAAAAAGTAGATTCATTGAATTGTACACTTTAAATGGGTGAACTGTATGGTATGTGAATTATAGCTCAAAAGAGTTGTTACAAAAGAAAAAGAATACCTGGAACAAAAACTAGCAAAACTGAAAAGAGAGACAAACCCAGCATTAAATCTGGAGATGAACAAGTAGACATATATATATATCAGTGAGAGTACAGAAGACGTGAACCACACTATCAGTGAAATTTATCTAATTTGCATTTATGGGTTGCGCAAATGATTTGCACTTAACCACTAATCGAGAAGTTGGCTATTCAAATCCGCCCAGTGGCACCGCAGAAGGCAGACCTGGCAATCAACTTCCATAAGAATACAGCCACTGAAAATCCTATGGAATGCAGTTCTACTCGGACACACATGGGGTCTCCATGAGTTGGAATCAACTTGATGGCATGGATTGTACCCAACAATGCAATCCCTGGGTGGTACAAATGATTAACATGCTCAACTGCTAACTGAAAGTTTGGAGGATTGAGTCCACCCAGAGGTACTTTGGAAAAAAGGCCTGGCAATCTACTTCTAAATATTCAGCCACTGAAAATCTGATTGGGCACAGTTCCATACATGGGATCACCATGCTTCAGAATCATCTCAATTGCAACTAGTAGTAGCTACTCAACAACAGGAGAATATACATTCTTTTAAGTGCACACAGAACATTCATCAAGATAGTCTGTAAAGCAAATTAAGAAGGATTGAAAGCATACCGAGTACATTCTCTAACCACAAGATAATTAAGTTAAAAAAAAAGATCTTGAACATCTAACACCTCTACAAGACAAATGCAAATAATCCTATTAAAAAATGGGCAAAGGAAATGAACAGACACTTCACCAAAGAAGACATTCAAGCGGCCAACCGACACATGAGGAAATGCTCACAATCACTAGCCATTAGAGAAATGCAAATTAAAACCACAACGAGATACTGTCTCACCC